AAAATGTGGACCTTTTAAACATGAAAAACTTTCGTAGGACGTATTTTCTTGTAAAGTTCATATTTACTGAGATATCGCACTTTGACGCACTAATGTACCCTGTATAACAACATTGTTTGCGCACAAAATGTTCACTTGCTTTAAAGCGATGAATCACTATAACAAAAAGTCTAAAATACCCTAATTTCTGATGAATTTGCCCGCTGCGGGAGTTTTTTAGGTCTTACTTATATTTTTCATTAATAAAAACCATGAATTTTTGCTTTAAAAAAAAAAGCATTGTGAGCTGGATTATGTTCTTAGGCGTTCCAACAGCCATTACTCGAAAATAAATTTACTGAATTCTTTGCAAATGTAATAAATTTTATATAGCGAAAGAAGGACAAACATACCTAAAAAAACAACAAATTTCAAAGCCAGATTATAGCCAGAAAATTCCATGTGATGCTTCTACAAGCTGCAGCAAGTTAATTAAAGAAAGTTATATGTACATTTGATCAAAAAAAGTTAATTGTTGTATGTCTGTATGTTGTATGTCTAATGTTGTAAATCTGAAGGATACCAAAGAAACACCTTAATTAAAATTTCATCAAAATTCTTAATTAATTCTATTTACTTTTTTATATACATTGAGGCTTAAGTCAAAATTTAAAATTGATAGATTGAAATTTACAAAAAAAAACTCCGCAAAATTTTACAGATTAGTAGGTATTCAGTTAGTCTTGTTAACAATTCATTAATCTCTTTTAAGGCACCTGTTGATAAATATATATTGGTAGCAGCATTGCTATCGAAACCTCAAGTTAAATTTTCTTAATTAATTTCTCAATACTTGGTTAAAAATCATTAAAAAATAATAACTTTACTAATTTCTGTTCTAAATCTATTTCCTTACTTACTCTTAGCCTGACCATAAGTGTGCTCTGAGAGAGGCGATAGTTCTTGATTGCTTTTTGCTAAAAAAATTGCTCCTTATTGTGAAATAAGAGCACTCGTCAATCAGTAATAAAGGACATGAAAAAAATATGTCTTTTATAAGGGGCAAACATTTTTTGACTCATAATATCCGACAAAAAGACTATTATTCAGTTTTCAATTTATCAAGACCATTTAAATGAAAATAAACTAAGGACAGAAACACGATCAGAGCGAAACATCCATGAATTTGAAAATGCAGGGCACGTGCGGGTCTGGTGCCAGACTGACTTGTCTGGTACTATTGGACTTCGTGATGTCACGAGCAATCGCAAAACGTTCTGGTGTTACGCAAATAACAATAATGTGACTAAAATTTTTCGTGAACCACTAAATTAAATCAAGTTAATAATAACAATGGCAAACATCCAACATTGAAGAAATTTATTAATAATTAATATAAGAAATCATATTTTGAAACTTTTGATGGGTGTGTATTAATAGATGTAATTCAGTCACTGTAAATATCAACAAATTGAAGCGCAAAGAAGTTCTTGAGGTCATAATTTGCAATAGATGAATCTAAAATTTTCCGACCCTTAAGAACGGATCTAACAAGATTGGAAGTTGATTACTTGAAATTATTACTAAAGAATATTAACAAAAAAAAAGGATCGAAATGTTCATAAGTACGTTTTTGAGCAACATATGCATGAATTAACTGAATAATGTGACGAGAACTCAGTACGCAGAATAATGGTTGCTATACCCCCAAGTAAAGACTATGCGACAAGACAATTTTTATAAATGATATTGAAATTGAAGAATGGTTAAATTCTATATTGTTAAGTCGAACTTTTTCAGAACTTGTCCAATTTTCAAAATCGTGACTTTAATGCTTCTATGTTAAAGTGGAAAGGTAAGCTATTTATTTATAAATTATGTGTCTGCAAAAAAGTAAAACTCGGTTACATATTTTATTCTGATATGTCGCGGGTTCCCAACCTAATGAATAGTGACAATCGTTTATTAGCCACTCAAAATAAGTAACTTAATTTTCATGG